GCATTACGGATGATGTTTCAGTTGGTTTAATTTTCCTTACATGTGTAGCGTGTGTCGGTGAGCGCGACTGCCCTGGGGAAAGTTCAATTTATAGATAAAACGGAGCTTTCGGTATTTTTTTAAACAGTTAAATGGCAGACCCAGAGAGGAACCAGTAACCCCATCAGCCAGAGGGTAATTTTACGGAAGGAACTTATACATTTAATGATAAGTTCCACGGTTCCCGTGTGACATTTCAAAAACATGACGCAATTACATGCAAAATCAAGTTGACACACGCTTACACAGATATCCAAACAACAAGAAAACCAACAGCAACAACAACAGCAACAATAATAATACAACTAGTACTACTACCAATAATATTTAGAATATATCGTACCTTCAATCAAATGATGACCGATGACCAATGCACATTTTGCTCGTATGATTTTGAGTCATTCGTCACACCACACGCCCCTCTCCTTAACCTGCAAGAAGGATTGTCCACCTGTCGGCGAATACGACAAACCAATCAGAATGCGCGTAAGGATTAAAATACAGTGATAAAAGTAATCCCGAGTACCTGACTCAGTTATGGCAATATGTGATCGTTTCAAAACTTGTGAAAACTATCTATCATCATTTCTACATTACAAAGTACACGGATAGCAGAATTATGTAGTTTGAATTGTACTTGTAAATACAGAAAGGGCCAAGGACAGTAAGAGATTCAAATGTACATCCGCGTGTTTGGTTACATCCTATTTACGGCTAAAACTGCGAAATGTATCAAGTATCCATTGTTTGGTCGGCTCGTAGTCAGTGTGCTGTGTCGGAGTGAGGTATTCATGTTGAGTAAGGTTTACAGTGGGTTAGCACTGTAAACAACAGGAACTCGTTATTGGTCACTTAAAAAAAATGAATACCCCCTTTATTTAAGTAGAGAAAATTCTCTACTTACATATAGGGGGTATATATTTTTATTTACTGACCAATAACGAGTTCCTGTGCTGTAGACTCGGCATGCATTAGTCCGGACTAGTACACACAGACACACACAGACACACAGACACAGACACACACACAATTTTGACAAAACCATACTAAAGATATAAAGATATACATAAAATATTACAATAATAGCTGCTTTAACATACATAGCCAATGATAGACACACACACACACACACACACATAATTTTGACAAAACTGATAGCTGATTTAAAATATATAGATAATCACACACACACACACACACACACACACACACACACACACACACACACACACACACACACACACACACACACACACACACACACACACAACACAGAAACACAGACACACACACACAGACACACACACACACACTGTTGTACTCATATGAATGTTTGACTTGAAATGTAAAAATTGATGTGAACAATATGCATAGATTTTATAGATCTGGTAGTACTTTCAATACATCAACCTCATGTCTAGTTAACGACATCTAAATATATCATTCATCGTGTTCGAACAACAGATGCAAAATTACTAGGTATACTGTGAATTAAAGAATTTAAAGTTTGCTATATTTTGAATAAAGAACCAACCAACAATCCGCAACTGTTTATATTCTTTACAATGTTGCTCATTCAGTCTTGCTTGACAACGGCATAAGGATCTAAACCTAAACGTCGCCTTTACAGTATTAAAGAAGTTGTTATCCATTAACTGTGTCTACTTTGTCAACCACCAATGAGTATAAATCTTTAATTTTTAAAAAGATCAAACAAAGTTCACATTTGCACATTTACAAGAAGATAAACTTTTGTTCAGTCTACAAATATGACAATTAGAACAATTATGTTATGGACATGAATCGTAAAAGCCAAGAACTGCAAACCTGTAGACATATTAATCCCGCTCCCAAACATAAAGTATTAAGATTTATATCCGACATCAAACTTTTGAGATGCTCCCTCAAGAAATTGGATAAAAGATGTGAATGGACTCATCTGGAGAAAATGTTCACTTGGAAGCAGGATATGATGGAATAAATAATCAGAGTTGCTGTTATTGTTAGTCTTACCATATACAATAATATCCCAGGTGAAATACACCAGGAATATCTAACACATATTATATTTGGGATAACACTTTCTGAGTAAATGTACAGATTCTCTTACTGATTTGGGTGGATTGTCGATATCATACAAAGGATTCTGCTTTTCAGCAAACATTGAATCTAAATTTGTTAATTCATCGTATCCCAATTGCGTAGATCGATGCCCAATGTCTGGTCAAGACTCGATTATTTACAGACCGCCGTCATACAGCTGGAATATTACTGAGTGCGGCGTTAAACAACAAACAAACAAACAATATCTATATCACGACGACATGTGAATAAACGGGTCTGGACCAACAGTTGATAGCATGAGCAATGATCCATGCCATTTGTCACACACATTAAAACAAAACAGGAGGTTGTCTACACGGTTTTCTCCCTTCCTCTTTTCTGGCTGCTAGAATAGAATGATCCAGACAGATAAACCAGATTGTTTTGAGCTTCTTTATATGTGTACTAATTTATGATTTAAACAATATTTAGAAATAAACAGGCAAAGCCCATTTGAACACTTCACCCTACATGTACATTTAAAATAATTAAAAGTAAACTGTACATATAATAATAAAATAATAATAACATTATATATATGATTTTACCAGAAGCCATCTTGCTGTAACATTTGACCTAGGTGTTTGTGCGATGAGACCTATGTTGTTGGAGTACCTTTCATTTTAACAGGTTTGGGGCTTCAAAATGCCTATGAAACAAAATGATCCAGGAGTTGTATTGTTGAGTGAGCTTAAGTGGACTACTTATATCAACTCTGATATATGTTATGATTTAGTTTACAGTGAATCTTCCAAAGTGTATTAGCAATCTCAACTCTGACTCAAGCTTGCACCAGCATCTCATCTCCTGCAGAGTTGTCAAACTTAAAAGACATCAAAGAGTGGGAATACTTCTATTAACTGTATCGTTTAGTTAGTTTTTTCCCAATATGTATTAGTTAAGTAAACTGTGACTCAAACACGCAGCATTTTATCTCCTGCAGAGTTGTCAAACTAAAAGGATATCAAAGAGTGGGAATACTTCTATTAAATGTATCGTTTAGTTAGATTACAATAATAGAGTTTTTCGTCCAATATGTATTAGTTAAGTAAACTGTGACTCAAGCTCGCAGCATCTTATCTCCTGCAGATCGGACTAATTCGAAGTGAGTTGGATTATTCCATTACAACAGTAGGTTGACTTAATTGATCACCACATCCTCTGTGTAACAACTGGCAAAATCGGAGTGTGTGACAAATGGCATGTGCAACCAATGGGAGCGAACCTTCTCACATTATATCCACCGATCCTCATTAGTAGGCTCTAAAGAAATGTGCTGGAATACTAAATGGGAATATGGTAAGGGTAAACCAAAATATGCATGACATTGCTAAATGATATCACCAATAATACATGCTGAGGTATGTAACTCCTCCGGGTAAGAATAGACACCAAGCAGCCTGTGCTGGTTGTCACAGACGACTTAATGGATCGGGTGGTAGGGCTCGGTGACTTGGTTGATAACGTGTCATCGTATCCCTACGGAGTGAACCGTTGCTCATAATAACAATCATTGTATTGTCTGGTCCAGGCTCGATTATTTACATGCCGCTGTGATACAGCTGAAATATTGCTGAATGCAGCGTAAACAACAAATAAAAAACAAAACTTCAAACAATGTCAATGTCCGACTATTAATATATCTTGAACATAATCGCGAAAACACATACAAATGGGCATGGTTTACATTTAAAACAGATGAAAATTTTTCAAATGACGTTAAATCATATAAACCTAGATCTATATTCATTTTGAAAATTGCAACAAAACTTATTTCAACTGGCCTCTTCAAGCTCTTGTGTTTTTTTCTGTCCGAAACATGTCTACATGTGATTGCGTTTTATGGTATAAATGTTTAAATCGTAGCTGACAGGTTCATGGCTCATGAACCTTCACGTCGGTTGCTCGATTGATAACAATCTGCTCATGTTTCGTGGGCAACTATCTATGACCTGTTTCACTTAGGGCCTTCCTTCATTAAACTTATATGCCTTCATTCCACTGAAATAGCCCCCAAAAGGGACGGTAGACCCTAACTGTCTCTGTCTACATATCATTTCTTATAAAAGATTGAAGCTATTTGATTAGCCAGCTGCCATCTTGAAATAACCTATGGCAAAAATATCGGCATACAGACTGGGTGTACAAGAACTTTCAGCTAAATCCCGTACTCCCCTAAAGTGGTTAAAGCGTTCGCTCGTCACGCCGTAGCCTCGGGTTCGATTCCCCACACGGGTACAATGTGGTAAACCCATTTCTGGTGTCCCTCCACGCTATTGCTGAAACATTGCTGAAAGCAGCGTAAAACCGTACTCACTAACTCAATTATACTCACTCACATTCCGCTAATGACATATTTAACTTGTGATATCAGACCACTGTAGAGCCTTAAGGGTATTATCACTGTTACATAGAATGAGTGAATGAGTTAAAATTTAAAGTCACATCGGCAGTATTTCAGCCATATCGTGGCTATCTGTCAAATAGGAAGAAGAAAGCAAACTAACAACAAGATGAAATGTACCAATCTTAGCAAATTGAGCTTCGTCTGTGTCGGCCTTAGTTCACTCAACTAGATGGCAGTCCCGGGTTGAGCTCTAGCTGTTTTTAATATAATCAGTTGTGAAGAACATCTGCTAACTGCCAAGTCTGTATAACCATTGTCAGTGACAACTACTACAACTTTTTTCTCTAAGCCTCTAAACATTTCTGAAGTTGTATAAACCACCTTGTTTTCATATCCGTATGGTTGAACCTCGACGGTCTCGGTATCGATGTCGATTTTTTGCAGCAAGCCAACCACGTCATTCCTTTTTGGTTCTCTGTCATCAAGAACAATAACATCACACAATCCTAGCTTACTGCTGGTTTTTTTTGTGTTGTTCCATGATATTTTTGGATCTTTGTTCCTTGTCATTGTTGGATTCTTGTTCCATGACACGGCTGGATCCTTGTTCCATGACACGGCTGGATCCTTGTTCCATGACACGGCTGAATCCTTGTTCAATGACACGGCTGGATCCTAGTTCCATGTCACTGCTGGATCCTTGTTCAATGACACGGCTGGATCCTGGTTCCATGTCACGGCTAAATCTTTGTTCCATGACACGACTGGATCCTTGTTCCAGGACACGGCTGGATTCTTGTTCCATTACACGGCTGGATCCTTGTTCAATGTCACGGCTGGATTCTTGGTCCATGACACACCCGGATCCTTGTTCCATGACACTGCTGGTGACACTGCTGGATCCATGTTCTATGACACTGCTGGTGACTCTGCTGGATCCATATTACATGACACTGCTGGATTCTTGTTCAATGACACTGCTGGATCCTTGTTCCATGACACTGCTGGTGACACTGCTGGATCCTTGTTCCATGGCACTGCTGGATTCTTGTTCAATGACACGGCTGGATTCTTGTTCCATGACACGGCTGGATCCTGGTTCCATGTCACGGCTGGATCCTTGTTCCATGACACTGCTGGATCCTTGTTCCATGACGCGGCTTGATCCTGGTTCCATGTCACGGCTGGATCCTTGCTCCATGACACGGCTGGTGACACTGCTGGATCCTTGTTCCATGACACGGCTGGATTCTTGTTCAATGACACGGCTGGATTCTTGTTCCATGACACTGCTGGATCCTTGTTCCATGACGCGGCTTGATCCTTGTTCCTTGACACGGCTTGATCCTTGTTCCATGACGCGGCTGAATCCTTGTTCCTTGACACTGCTGGATCCTTGTTCCATGACACGGCTGGATTCTTGTTCAATGACACGGCTGGATCCTGGTTCCATGTCACGGCTGGATCCTTGTTCGTTGACACGGCTAGATCCTTGTTCCATGACACGGCTGGATCCTTGTTCCATGACACGGCTGGATTCTTGTTCCATGACACGGCTGGATCCTTGTTCCATGACGCGGCTGGATCCTTGTTCGTTGACACGGCTGGATCCTTGTTCTATGACACTGCTGGTGACTCTGCTGGATCCATATTCCATGACACTGCTTGATTCTTGTTCCATGACACGGCTGGTGACACTGCTCGATCCTTGTTCCATGACACGGCTGGATTCTTGTTCAATGACACGGCTGGATCCTGGTTCCATGTCACGGCTGGATCCTTCTTCCATGACACGGCTTGATCCTTGTTCCATGACACGGCCGGATGCTTATTTTATGACATTGTCGGATCGTTGTTTGTTGGCATTGATGGGTACAAGACCAAGCTCTTGAAAATAACCACGCAATTTCTGTTGACAGTCTGTGCATTGATCAACTGTTCCTGTGTGTCCTGTGTGATCAACTATTAGAGGGTTGGGTACTTCAATAGGATGCAGTTCCTTATTTGCATGTACCTTTTGTTTAATGATGCAAAGAATAATTTTTCTTTCAAATCCCGCAAGGTTTTCTTCATTCGTGAACAGGATGGCATTTCGTTTTTCAAAGAAGTAGTACAGAGATGGCTTAACAACAAATATAATTTCTTGTAATTTCTTTGTCTTTTCTCACTTGTTGTTCGTTGATTTTGGGACAGTCCTTTATTTCAGTTGTGCAAAAACCATGTGACCACAATAATGTCGCCAATTGTTTCTTAGAAACTACCTCTGTCTCAACAGGTACGTTGGCTTCTTTGATGTAAATTTCACCACCTTTGCAAACCGTCATCTTTTTGTAAGAGTGAACATAACTTTCAGGTAGTCTGTTTGTGACAAGAATCGTTTCAGTGTTCTTCAATTCATCTGCTTTCGATTTGAATTGTTCCTCTGTATAGTCTATCATGTTTTCTAATTCTTCATAGGGACATTTCAGAGCTCCAAACCATTGCATAATGTCCGTTTTCTCTGACATTGCATTCACAAAAGTCACATCGGACCATTTAAGTGAACAGGGTGGAGATTGTGATGACAGTCCGAGCTTCTCAAAGAAATCTTTTACTTTAGTTTCTTCTAAATTGAGTGTTTCTACACGCTGTTCAGTCGTCTTGCAGCTTTGAAAGATCGAAGGGGGGCATCTCAAGACTTTGTGGAGAACAGCTATTGCAAACACTCGAAAGATTTCTCCAAGGCTTGGTTTCAGATTGTCATCTCTCTCGCAACTCATTATTGCCCAAATGAAGCGTTCTTTGGGGTAACTGTTGATAACGTTCTTTAAAGTTTGATCATTCTCAAGACTGGAGGGAACCTCGTCAATAAATACATGCCGTTTTCCTCTGCACACCTCTGCAACATCGTTGTTAGTTTCGAATGGTCACCCACTTGCTCAATTATCATGTTGTTGGACATCAAAGGAGTCATGTCATATCTGACAGAATCCGCCAAAACCTCAAGTAGTGGAGATTTGGCCATGCTGATGATACATATATTCTGAGCTATCATTTCTCTAGCTTTCAGAATAAGCATTGTTGTTTTGCCACTTCCATGCTGACCACGAATAATGAGTTTTGACGAATGATTATTCAGGATGTAAATCTGCTGTGGTGTGAGCGTAATGTTCATGTAACGATTTCCTATTCCTGCGATAACTTCAGCTGGAGATCGAATTGATTCAGGAAGGCGAATCATTGGTGCTTTTACTGTTGATTTGTACCCAACGTATTTCCCAAAAAACACGGCGGTAATCAGCAAATGATGAAAAACCTGTTGTTTTGTTTTCTCTGTCTACCATTGTTCTAAATTGCTTTCCATTTCTTCATGTCCCTCAGAATGACAAGGCAAATGGCAATCCAGTAGACAACCAGATATAGATTTCTTCACATTTGGTAATGCAAGAATGGCCGATTTGGTTCCCCTATAGTCCTTGAAATTGTCATTGAAAAACATTTCTTCTTTACGTAGCTGACCTCTAGCATCTCGACGTCTATTTTGGTAATTAGAATCATCACAGCCTTGAACTTGAATGAAGAAGATTCCATAATTTTTTTCATCTGGAGGTGGTTCATCTCTTTGGTGACAGAAGTTTCTAAAGTTATATGAAGTGAGGATGAAAGCTGGGTTCTCTTCAGTTTTGAGTAGCCACTCTAAACTGTCAGCGACTCGTTTTTCAGCATTCAGCATTCCAGTATATGTTCTTCAGGCAGTCTCCATTCAGGGAATGTGTCATTGTGTGATGAATAGTTTTGTGCTCTGTTGTCTTTATTGAATCGTACTGGGGAAGTACCAATGAATGTCCAGGGCACTCTGTATACCTTTTCGTTGTAATCTGGGTGGTGTTCCTTTAGGTATTTGATATATGCCTCATGAGCAGGCATACATCCACCCTCGCTTGATGGATCGCGTATGGCAAGGTTTCCTATGGATGTTTTAAGAGATGCGATTTCATCTGAGTCATTATTATTCGTCTCTGTACATGGCAAAGATGTGCCTTTCGATCTTTTTCCGGGTACATTTTCACATGAGGTGCTTTTCCTTTTAATCATTTTCCCGCTTTGACCCCGAAATTATATTAAGACTTTGTCCTCTCAAGAAGAGTCTATTGTACGATTCCGACTGTATCATGAGCATTTGTTTATGAATAGATACAATTAGGGATGATACTTGGTAATGTGAAAATGTGAGCGTATCCTACCCCACCGGTGGCACTCGTCACAAACATATACAAATGTAACTTTATTGTCCACCTGACACAACCCCATGTGAATACACGGTGAAGTCAAATAGGGAAATGGATCAGACATATTATTCATCCTCTACTGAATTTAGATAACATTGGATATACATCTCTGATTTCTAGGTATATTATTGTGTTTCCGTTCTTCAATCATTAATCTGCGTGAAATACATCTACATTCTGATAATGATGTTCAAAACTTTGTCAGATTTACATCCGTTAAATAGCATATAAAATAGCATATAATAATATTGGTTTGAATAACTCATAATAGCAACATTTACTAGATGCTGTAGAGTTCACTGCATATCGCTTGAGAGTAAGACAAGCGTATCGTCCGATGACGGGAGCGGCATGTGTTGTCAGGTTTCTCTTGCACTGACAATTTATATTCACATCTCACGTTATCAGTCGTGTAATCAGAGTGAGGTAAATGGGGATAGCGGGGAAGTCGCCGTATTGGATTGTCTGGGCAGATTCGATGTTCTACAGCAGTGACATAACAGTAATAGCATTTGGGTTAATTTGAACTAAAAGATCTCACTTATGAAGTACCCCTGTAATAATGATCATTAACGTGAAAAGTCGTACGCATCTTACAATATGAAAACAGATGCGCATTTGGTTGACAATAGCCAAATACCAGTGTCTGACACTTTCATGATCGTGCTATAAAATGGCATTAAATAGGTTTGCAATACCGTAAGTGAAGATGCCATAAAGGTCAAACTATAAAGCAAACTACAATGAAATACGAATTATGACTGTTTGACTGATTCATATATATTTATTGTAATGCATAATTAGACGTCATTTTGGTGACAATAGTTCAAGACTAAATAACATCAATATATTGAAATCAGCAAATATATTATTATACCAATGCATGTCGGAAGTCACATGCCCAAATAAATACCCCACATAACATGATGTTTCTTGTGTATTTTCCCCAACCGAAATGAGGACAAAATAAATAAGTTGGGATATCACACTCATACCTTAACACACCGCCTTGTATAAAGTCCCCGTAGTTAAACAGCGCGTTGGTTGCGCTCGATGGTTTCCATATAAAAAAGAACAGTTTGTGATTGTTTTTGTGCATGGTTACGTGAGCGGTATGTCAGTTTCCCGGGGAGAGAGAGGTTTCTTGGAAAGCTGTGACCTACTTTTCAAACGTTCTAAAAATAGCGGCGCTGTCGTATGAACTTATGTCCCATGTACAGTGTGTACAATTTTGTAATTGATATCTTTTCCCTTAAAAACCAAGCCTCGTTCTCAAGTGCGACCTACAAACAGTAAATACAATTTGCTAGCAGATGACATATTCACTCTCCAGTCTCTGTCAACTGGATAAACGGAGGTTTCTACTAAAACAACTGTGTTTTTGGACTTTTATTAGTTTTCCATGTTACTAAATATATTCACTGAATATTAATGCTTTCACCTGGGTGATAAGGTTTATTCATTTCATGATGATGACCATCTTTGATAAAATGTTGCCAACTGTATGCATACCTGATAGGGACTACATGGGCTCCCATAAATATACGAAGTCTTACATTTTTTCTCAGAAGGAATACCATCATTCCAGGTTTTGTTTCTATTTCCTTTC